GGCCGCCCGCGCCTCACTCCCGGCCCAGATCGCGTTGCCCACTCCTGCCCGGATAGCAGCAGCCACAGCAGCCACCACCGCCACTTCCTCCTCCCTCTCCGTTGCCTCCGGCCGTCAAGCGCACTAGCGGTCAAACGCCGCCGTCTCTTTTGCGACAGATGGAAAAAAAAGAGGGCGGAGGGACGGGCCAGAGAGTGGGCGGAGCCAATGCCGAGGCGGGGCCGGAGCTAATTTGGATTGGGGGCAAGGAGGTGCTAAACTGCCCATCCTTGGGCCTGAAGCCGTGACTTCTAAAGTAGAAGGGTCTGCGACTTTCAGTGTTACGGGAGGGGGGGGCGGTAGACACCGAGCAGTCATGCCAAGCTTTGGTTTGCTATTGATGAATTCAATAGCCCTAGGATTTTATAAAAACAAGAAAAAAAAGCCATAGATCTTTATTGTTTCTGTGAAAAGGATCATCCTCCTAGGAAAAAAAACCCCAAAACGTGGAACAGAGCCCTTGAGAATATGACCTTTATAGCTATTTCTTTAAGCCTGAAACTGAACTCATCTGGGTAGCTCAGCTTTTAACCACACAATAGGCTTGTAAGGTGAACGATACATAACAAAAGGTAGGTACTCACTCCTTAGAACAATCAACTTTAAGAGATCAAAAGGGCATTTTTGCCCTGGAATAAAGCTCAGAAGGGGAGTCTTGGTGTTTAATGCACTGGACTGCAAGGTCGGTTTGACCGGCTGACTACACTTCACAACAGCAAAGCTCAGAAGGCAGAAAGAGATAGGAAAGAAGGGTGAATGGAAACATAAGCCAAGGGAGGAAGTAGGAAGAATGCTGCTGTTACAATATAGGGATTGCAATCAATGTCACAAGACAAAATGCTTATGAATGCTGTATAGGAAACCAATTTGCTGTGTAAACTTTCACCCAAATCACAGTTTTAAAAAGTTTAAAAATAAAAACTTGGAACAGTTTAGAAAAGCAGAAGAAAAAGAGTAAAAACTCGTTTGTTGATTACACTGGCAAACCTACCCAGCTATCCATATGCCACTTGAGAGCACACAAGTCTAGTTTAGGGCAGGGTAGTCTATTTCTCCCTGACATCAAGCCTGACTCTTGATGTCAAACCTGAATTTCAACTTATTAAATAACACTAGATACTAAACTTCTCATTGAGTACTTTAAGAAATGTCTGAACTGTGACTTATTAATGCAAAAGAGGAGTTTTGCCTTGTGTCTAGGGAAAGAATTTTATATGAGCACAAAGCTGGACAATGGGGTAATTGTTCCCACTTTGGTTTGGGGACATTTCAAAGACAAATAGTGTTTACCAGTTGCTGGAAATGGAATGGTTACTCAGAGATGATTTCTTGTTGGTCGAGAGCACACAGAGATGACAAGTCAGCTTTGACTCATGGTGACCCCATGTACAAGACAGAATCTTGCCTTGTGTTCATTGCTGAGGTTGCTGTATATTGAATGCCTTTCAACCTAGAGGGTTCATCTCCCAACATTATACTGAATAATATTCTGTTATGATTATAGAGTTTTCATTGGCTAGTTTTTGGAAGTAGATCACCAGACTTTATTTTCTAGTCTTGTAAGAAACGTTGTCGATACCCCGATACTGCCTCTGTTCCTCTTGGGCACTTGTGGGTCAGTATAAACCCCTTACTAGGACCTTACCTGGATGGGCCTCTGGAGGGAGAGCTGGGGCAGACCACCTTATCCTGTATGAGGTCACAGATGAGTTATCATAAGTGCTTACCAAACAACGCTCAAGAAATCCATTCTGTGCTCCTTTTAATGAGAGGGAGGCTTTTTTATTCGATTTTGCAAAATCGGGCACCAGACCCAGAAGACATGGGCAGATGTGCCACACTGAAGGTTCCACATAGAATTTATCTCCTAGTTCAAGAAATTCCCTCCCCCATTCCTCATTGACTGAGTACTATGGGGTTAACAATTCTCCCCACACACACACCTCACCTATTACCTTGATGGTTGTATTTCTATTTAAAGTTCCTAGTTGACCTAATAAACTTCTTCCCCTTGCCCCATAGGCTTTGCCTATTGTTACACTAACCTGCAACTTCCTGGACCCCCCTCATTCCTAAAGATGAACCATCCTGAGTTATTTCTCATAGTCTGGAAGCTCTGCTGAAACCTGGGTAACCCTGCTGGTATTTGGAAATACTGATGGCATAGCTTCCAGCATCATACCCACAGGTAAGCTACCATAGTAGAACAAACTGGCAGATGGGTGGTGGGTACTCTATTAGAAAGAAAGTGCCTACTACCTAGGCAATCTGAAAGTACGCTTATCCTTCTTTCCCCTCTAAAATTATCACCAAAACATAAACACAACTTTTAAGTTCTCATACAGAATTTACAGATGTTATGGGATATGTTCATGGATGTGTAGGAATCCATAGCCTCCGGTTAGAGGTAGCCATCAATTCCACCAGTACCTGGGAGGCGCAATGGGCTGAGAGATAAGAACCAGACAGGCTTAACCTCACTTGGGAAGTGGGACTGATCACGTAACCTGCTTTTGGGGCTTTTGAGGAATGAGTAAGGTAATTCACATAGACAAAATAACATGGAGCATGGCACAGGGTATGTGCTTAATGCTAACAAATAAAGTTTTTGTTGAATTGACTTTCACTTACGATAACCCCATGTAGGTCAGAGTAAAACTATGCTCCGTAGGGTTTTCAATGGTTAATTTTTCCAAAGTAGATCACCAGGCCTTTCTTCAGAATCACCTCTAGGTGGACTCCAACCTTCAACGTTTTGGTTAGCGGCAGTTCAAATTCACCAGCCCTTCCTCAGAAACATTCTACTGGGTAGCTGTGAGTCAGAACCCACTCGATGGCACTTAACAACAACAACAGCACCAAGGGTGTTAGCCATTTTGATCACCCAGGGACTCCTCAGTGAGTGTGAACTCGTAATTGCATTTGCTACTCTGGTAGCGTAGTGGTTATGAATCGGGATGTGAACCGCAAGGTCAGCAGTTCAAAACTACCA